AATGTAAACCTAACAAAATAATCCAAGTATTTGCCTCATCATTTTTCTGTTCTACTTGTTGTTTGTGAATAGGGCTGCCATGATTACTCAACGACTAAACAACTATTAAAATAGTCAACGACTAATTTGTAACATCTGTATGACTTCTCTACTGTGGAGTACAAGTAATGCCAAATGGCAAAAAACTCATGGAGGGAGATTGCAGAATTGTTGCAAACAGAGGAGGCTGTCTGCTGCAAATGGTGGCGGACTCTCTGTGACCGGTTTGCAAAGACCAAACAGAGAATGCAGGTCCGGAGCGAGGATCCTGGCGGGACCAATCCAATTCCTCGTTATTTCTTTTTTGTAGTACTGGGCGGTATACCGTTTTGTACCGAATACCGGTTTTTATTTTTCCCATGATATGAATTTTCTGAATACCGGACATACCGGTTTAAATAGCCCGAAAACATGCAGACCGTTTCGTTGCGACCACCAGTGAACTGTTTCCCGGGGGACACTTTTTCTCGCAGCACCGCTATGTGCGTTAGCATGCTAATGTTATTGTTGAGCAGTTTGTTGCAGCGGTGGGTGGCGAGTCCACTGCTTATATTGACTGACATTAAAAAACATCCCGTTTTGACCATCGCTGAATATAGTAAACACATTTTCAGTGACGTGCACAGTTAGATTAAACAGTTAGTTAATATGGAAACGTTATGCTGATGGAGACTTAACGTGGTTCTATTGTGAAAAGCCTGCAGGAAGTAGTTTGTAGTGGAGTTGGAATTGACTGGTGAGCAAGGTGAGTCGTGTTGATAAGCTTTAATAAATAAACAATAAACCAGATCATAATCTTTTCTTATCCCTCCTCCTTCACGACTGGACCAAAATGCGTGACTACTGTCTCCAACCACCAGTCAGAGAAGAACAGACTCAGAGGAGGGAAACAGCGACACAGACAGAGGTACAGTAAAAGAAAAAAAACTCAATAAGCAGGGTTTGTACATTTTATTTTTAGCTGAGCTGTGATGAAAAGAAAAAATACTGTGAAACCGGTGTAAATGTTGAAAATACCGTGATATAAAATTTTGGTCATACCGCCCAGCACTACTTTTTTTGCCCCATTTTTTTTTTTGCTGGACACGTACATTAAACACCAGGGGAAGACAACAAACACGACAACATCCGACACAACGGGCTCACAAATCGAGGTAATAAAACACCCTCACTAGCCTACTTTATAGAAAATGAAGTGATTTATTACAAAAACTTAAATATAAAATCACTCTTGTGTTGCTTGACGTATGCGGTGGGAGGGCAGAGGGAGGAATTACTATAATGTATCCCCCACATCTTTTCCAAGTATAAACACTCAATGCAGTCGGTGACACAAACGCAATTACGTCATTGCTGGGCTGCAGCCGCACGTCTTGCATGAAGTATAAACAAACCTTCACACACACAGTCCGGCACAGGCACGCACAGTGCCCCTCCCTCCCCCTGCTGTAGCTACGTAAGGTGGGAGAGAGGCTTCAGAATCAGAGCAGCAGTGGTGAGAGAGAAATAAAATAATCTACATTTGTGAAGCGAAGCCGTCTGCTGTTTAGCACTGTGAGTCTCCTGCATGTCAATGTGTCTCCCTCTTACAGTAGTGTTATTGCAAGAGTGACTGTTTCAACACTAGGTGATAATCAGGGCTCTAACGATCGGCTAATGGTCCACTTTTGCATGTCAACACCAGTTCTGTTCATCGTCAAACTTGTTTGTCAACCATGTGAAGGCACCAAGGCACTGATAAAGCTGAAGAACTTTCTTGGAGGAGAGATGATGAAAAATTAAAATAAAATAAAAAAAACTCGTGACATACTGTATTCAACTTTTTTTTAGATAATCCATGGCCTTACAGCATAATTCTTCAAGGAAAATTCATACATGTCAGGTTGTACGGATTGTCCATAATGTACACAGACTTTCCATCATATTGCAGGTATATGGACGTATAGAGAAATCTCACTGATTTTTTCAAGTTTAATGGATTTTTTCTAAACCTCAGTTTCAAATTTATTTAACATGTCAGAGCCTGTAGGACGATAAAAACAACAACATCAAATGACCATCTTCGAACCTGTTCTGCTGCTAGTAATGAGACCAGTAATAAGTTCTGCACTTCCTCAATTCTCCCTACCTCCTGCGAGCTTTGCAGCAGGCGCTGTCATCTTCGCGGCTGACAGCCCCGCTCCCCAGTATCGGAATCGGTATCGAAATAAGTGATTCTAGCACAGTATTTACTTGGTATCGGATCGATACAAAAATTCCCAGTATCGCCCACCCCTAGTGGTAACTGGGGTAGGCCGTGTACGTCAGTGGTTTCCAACCCTGGTCCTGAAGGACCCCTATCAAGCATGTTTTACTTGTTTCCCTGCTCTTCAGCAGGTCTTCAGAAGATTCATCACTCATTCATTCAAACCAGTTGTGTCAAATCAGTAGTGATGGTGAGATGAAGCTTCATGATGCACTGAAGCTTTCCATCCAACTGGTCCACACACGAGTCGAAGCATCGACATGCTTCATTGGCTCTACTGCGCCATCAAGTGGACAATAAGTGAACTAGTTTATAATGAGGTGACTTGTTTACAAAGCTTTAAGTTGAATAAAGGAAATGTGTTTGTTGTTTGTTTGTAATGACTACAAATAAAGTCTAAATTTGGCCTTTTTGCCCGCTGAAACAAAAAGTCTCCATGTCTTGTAATAACTCAATCTAGCACAATCAACACTGCGCTCTGCTCCCGGGCTCCGCTCAACACCTCGCAAGCACACACACTTGTTTGTTGTTCTATCCTCGTGGGGACTTTGCATTGGCTTCCATTCATCTCCCGGTCATTTCTACAGCCAAACATAACCTCACATGTAGACTACACATCTGACCCAAACCCCAACGTTGGGCTGTGTGTCAGGGAAATGGTCAATAATTGTCCCCACCATGAAGCAAAAACGTACACATAAACGAGTGTGCGCGCACACAAGCGTAGTGGAACAACCGTAGATTTTTTTGTTTTGTTTTTTTAAACCAGAGTCTGAAAAACTTTTTGTTCTTGTTAACTGTGGAGATGAAAAGAAGATGTGGATGGTTGCTTGCTCTGAAGTCCTTCTTGCTAATTTAACAGTCAGGTTGTGCTCTAGGAGCGCTGCAGATCATTTCAGCAGCACGAGGAAGCTCACCTGTATGACAGGCTGCTTTTACACTTAATCTGCTTCACCACAGTTACCTCACACGTTTATGTGTAGACATATTAGTTATTTAAGTGAGAGATACGTAAGATTCAACTAATGCTAATGAAATTGCACTTTTGTGTGTTCTGTTATTTTTATTTTTAAAACAGCTCTACACCCTTTTAATAAATATCTTTAATATTTCTGCTATTAATCATTATTCTCTGTTCATCATTCTGGTTTAAGGGCTCGACACACGGGGAGCGACAAAATACAGCAATTAACGGCTGTCATCGCAGCCAGGGTGAAACCCGACACACGGGACGCGATAGCGATGGCAGCGTTGCGAATCACGCTCTCGGGTCGCTTGTCTTCACGAAATTTGATTGGTTCTTGACTCTGAAGGGGTGTGTGCATTACGGACGTGTAAACTAAACAAATCTTGTGAAGCTAATGATATTGAAAAAAAAACACGCATCAGGATACAATTTTATGAGGAAAAACTTACCATAAACTTCACCCTGGTGCCAATAAATTCCCACAAAGCTGCCTTTTTTAGTAATCATTTGGTGAAAGTGTTAGCTAACTGCAGTGTGTAGCATACTCTTCTCTCATTGGTCAGTCAATGAAACCCTCGCTGATTGGTTGTACGCTAAGCGACAGCGACAAAAGTTGAACATTTTTCAGCTTTCATATGTCGTGTGGCAAACTAGCGTGAAATTTCACATGCACTATTTTCACCGGTCGCTTGGCTGGAGGAAGGCGAGCGATTGTCGCCTCACCGCACAAGTTCCATGGGAAATGAATGGAGAGCGAGCGACGTTGCCTCCCGTGTGTCGAGCCCATTAGCCATGGCCAAAGATCAGGGCCAAACTACAGGAGTTGTTCATCTGAGGGGCAGGTGTAGTCTTAAGATATTTAGCCATGAAATGCTCACTTTGACATATTTATAATATGTTCAGATGTTAACATTTGCACTTAGAATTTCCATAGAATCACTTTAAATACTTCAGTAAGTTACAGGTCTTGTACAGTTCTGGTTCAAATATAGAACTTTATGTTTCCTAGATTGTTAACTAATTATTTTAAAGTTAATGTTGCCTTATTGAACAGTGATTTAAAAAAATAATAACCTGTAAAACTCTGATGTTAAATACGACATGGTGGAAAATTTGGGTGCAGACATATCGTCCAGCCCTACACAGTTCTTTCAAAAATATTGCTTAAATAACACACTTGCTTGCCATACCTGCACCTTTTGTCTCCCTCAACTAGAGCTGTCTGAATTCAAGACCTCTATCTGAAAGCTCACCTGTTCTTCATCAGCCGGACCTCCCGTTTGCGTGTCACTTCCTCCGTGCCTCCGGTTGATCCCAGTGCTGGCGAAGTTGCCATGACAACCCCGGGAGTGATGGCGCTGGTCGGAGCTGTGCGGATTTGGTAGGTCTGGACATCACCGGAAGCAGCTGACAGAGAAATGGGATCCGTTATGAAAACTAAACGTTTCTCAACTCTAGAGCAACGTTTCTGGAGTCGCTGCGCCACACCTTGTACGACTACTTGGTTGCTGGGAACCAGGATCTGCTGCCCGTCACTGGTCTGAGCGTACTGCAGAATGGTGGCGCCTGGTTGGGCCGCCGCAGCACTGGCCATCGTCAGCGTCTGCAGGCCCTGCACTCCGTCTGTGCCGTTATTGGCCAGCTGGATGGCCCCACCCTGGGTTATGGCAACTGCAGAAAAAGGTTATAAAATGCACCACTTAAAAATAAAACAAAATAAAATAAAAGCAAAGAAAACAAAAACAAAAGAAAAGAAAACAAAAACAAAACACAAGAAAACTAAACAAAACAAAAGAAAAGAAAAACAAAACAAGAGACCCAACCCAACTCAAACCAACCCAAACCAAAAACAAAAGAAAACAAAAACAAAACAAAAGAGACCCAACCCAACCCAAACCAACCCAACCCAAACCAAACCAAACCAAAACAAAGCAAAAACAAAACAAGAGACCCAACCCAACCCAAACCAAAAACAAAAGAAAACAAAAACAAAACAAAAGAGACCCAACCCAACCCAACCCAAACCAAAACAAAAGAGACCCAACCCAACCCAAACCAACCCAACCCAAACCAAAACAAAAGAGACCCAACCCAACCCAACCCAAACCAAAACAAAAGAGACCCAACCCAACCCAAACCAACCCAAACCAAACCAACCCAACCCAAACCAAACCAAAACAAAAGAGACCCAACCCAACCCAAACCAAACCAACCCAACCCAAACCAAACCAAAACAAAAGAGACCCAACCCAAACCAAGCCAAACCAACCCAACCCAAACCAACCCAACCCAACCCAACCCAACCCAAACCAAAGCAAAAACAAAACAAAAGAGACCCAACCCAACCCAAACCAACACAACCCAACCCAACCCAAAACACCACCTTTTCACAGATGATAAATAAATCCAGCTTACTGTACTGGCCGCTGCTGGTCTGATAGATGGGCGTGGGCATGGTGACGGTGGTTATGGTTGAGGCAGAGTCGTCCTCTGACTTCTCTTCTTCAATCCGAGGGACCGCAGGAGAGTCCGATGATAAGTCGTTTAGAATCTTCCTGTAAAAAGAGATCAATCGCAGCCAGATCTTAACAAAACACATAAAGGTTCTAAAGTACAGTATTAAAAAAAAAAAAAAACAGACCTATAAGAAGGTCGTCTGGACAAAATCTCTCTCCTTTTCTGAGAATCTACGACGCTGTCAACAGACTCCTGAGAATCTTCGTTGTCAACTGCTGAAATCTGAGAATCAAAGAACGTCATCAGAAGCATGTTTAGTGAGGTGAAAAAGTGTGCATCTTCCAGAGTCTCGTCAGTATAAATCCGATCTTATTTTTTGATTCGTAAAGAAAATAAAGAGAGCTTAAAAGCGCTGCTTTCGCTCCTCGTACCTGCACCGTCTGGACGTGCGGGGACTGAATGACCGACGGCTGCGCAGCTTGGATCACCCCGTGCACTTGGACCGTTTGACCGTTCGGTAGTTGCACCACAGTGACCGTGGGGCTACTGGACGACACCTGGCTCGCTGCTATGGGCACCTGCAACGACACGCGCATGGCTCGTGTGCAAAAGCTGTGGACGCGCCTCCGTTGGCAACTGTTCAATGACTGCTGCGTGTGAAGGTACCTGAGCCAAGGTGATGTGCTGGGCCTCGGACTCTGAGACAGCTGCTTCACCACTTTGCTGTGCCTCTGCGCCGGCCTCCATGCTCAATTAAAATCTGCAAACGGGAGTCACATTGGGTGAATAATCAAGTCATTAAGCAATGACATTTTAACACTAACATCAGGGCACATTTTGGATTTTTCCTACTTGTAGTAAAACCTAATCTAGAAAAATATGCATTCATCATTAAACTAATTTTACTAAAGAATTTGCATTTCCTGTGAAAAGGCAGTGTGACTGCTTAATGCTGAAAGATTTTTGCTGAATAGCTTTTAAAAAAAACTACAATTAGCACAAAGAAACAGAATGAGCACATTTGCAGAATTAAGCTATAAGAAGCCAAAATGAACCAAAGGTGAATTTAGCTGAAAAAGTTTAAATTAACTAAAAATGAGGTAAAACACAGAAAACAGCTGAAAGAAGCACAAAAACATGGAAATAAGCAAAAGATTAGCAGAAAATGTCAGAATGATACAGTGGGGAAAATAAGTATTTAGTCAGTCACCAATTGTGCAAGTTCTCCCACTTAAAAACATGAGAGTGGCCTGTAATTGACATCATAGGTAGACCTCAACTATGAGAGACAAAAAGTGAAAAAAAATTTGAGAAAATCATTTTGTCTGACTTTTAAAGATTTTTTTTGCAAATAATGGTGGAAAATAAGTATTTGGTCATTAACAAAAGTTCATCTCAATACTTTGTTGTATATCCTTTGTTGGCAATGACAGAGATCAAACGTTTTCTGTAAGTCTTCACAAGGTTGGCACACACTGTTGCTGGTATGTTGGCCCATTCCTCCATGCAGATCTCCTCTAGAGCAGTGATGTTTTGGGGCTGTCGGCGGGCAACACGGACTTTCAACTCCCTCCAAAGGTCTTCGATGGGGTTGAGATCGGGAGACTGGCTAGGCCACTCCAGGACTTTGAAATGTTTCTTACGAAGCCACTCCTTTGTTGCCCTGGCAGTGTGCTTGGGATCATTGTCATGCTGAAAGACCCAGCCACGTTTCATCTTCATTGCCCTTGCTGATGGAAGGAGGTTTGCACCCAAAATCTCACAATACATGGCCCCATTCATTCTTTCATGTACACGGACCAGTCGTCCTGGTCCCTTTGCAGAGAAACAGCCCCAAAGCATGATGTTGCCACCCCCATGCTTCACAGTTGGTATGGTGTTCTTTGGATGCAACTCCGCATTCACTTTCCTCCAAACACGACGAGTTGTGTTTTTACCAAATAGTTCTACTTTGGTTTCATCTGACCATATGACATTCTCCCAATACTCTTCTGGAACATCCAAATGCTCTCTAGCAAACTTCAGACGTGCCTGGATATGGACTGGCTTAAGCAGGGGGACATGTCTGGCACTGCAAGATCTGAGTCCCTGGCGTCGTAGTGTGTTGCTGATGGTAGCCTTTGTAACATTGGTCCCAGCTTTCTGCAGGTCATTCACTAGATTCCCCCTTGTGGTTCTGGGATRTMMCCTCACCGTTCMTGTGATCATTTTGACCCCACGGGCTGAGATCTTGCGTGGAGCCCCAGATCGAGGGAGATTAGTAGTGGTCTTGTATGTCTTCCATTTTCTGATTATCGCTCCTACAGTAGATTTCTTCACACCAAGCTGCTTGCCTATTGCAGATTCAGTCTTCCCAGCCTGGTGCAGGTCTACAATTCGGTTTCTGGTGTCCTCCGACCTCTCTTTCGTCTTCACCATAGTGGAGTTTGGAGTGTGACTGTTTGAGGTTGTGGGCAGGTGTCTTTTATACTGTTAACGACTTCAAACAGTTGCCATCAATACAGGTAATGAGTGGGGGAAAGAGGAGCCTCTTAAAAAAGAAGTTACAGGTCTGTGACAGCCAGAAATCTTGCTTGTTTGTAGGTGACCAAATACTTATTTTCCACCATTATTTGCAAAAAAATTCTTTAAAAGTCAGACAAAATGATTTTCTCAAATTTTTTTTCACATTTTGTCTCTCATAGTTGAGGTCTACCTATGATGTCAATTACAGGCCTCTCTCATCTTTTTAAGTGGGAGAACTTGCACAATTGGTGACTGACTAAATACTTATTTTCCCCACTGTAGCTAAAGTAGCAGACAAATATCAGCAAAATAAAAGCTGAAATTAGATAATTAAAAAGGCAGAACCAGAACAAAAGGTGAAACGTGCAGTAAATATTTAAACATTTTAAAGCTTTTTAAGGATGTTGCAGGTAGCTCATTTCAGTTCAATGAGACAAACATGGCCAAAAAAATGCTAATAATTTCAAAAAGTATATTGCTGCAGTACCAAGTGTCATAGCAGAAATATCCTGAAGGAGCTGAACATTTTCTTATATAAACTGTACAATTACCATTTGATTAAATTAAAATTTCAAAATGAAATAGCTAAGACCTTACTTCATGCACTTACAATTTTTCAATAATAAATATTACAGGAAAAAAAAGATGTTTGTAATTAATTACTGTCTGTTAATGTGTTTATGTAGATACATACTTATTACGAATAATAAAATGATTGGATTTGTCAAATATCGCGATATTTCCTCTGCTCTACATAAACACATGCAGCAAAACCCTAAAGGTTTGGCATCTGGGAGGGTGTGGTGTAGCAAGAAATGCTACAAAGTCTGCAGTCTTGTTTACTAAAATTATATAAAAGCATTCAACAAAACGGACTAGAAGACAAAAACAAAGGGAATTTAACAGCTTTATTGCCTCGTTTTTCCCACTAGTTTGGCTAATTATTAGCTAGCAGCTATGAAATCCAGTTAGCATGCTAACTGGCTAACAGGCATGCAATGACTGACAGCACTATTTCTATTTAATATACATTAATGGTGCAATGCTCGACTTCATGTTTAATGAGTATCTCAGTATATGGCGCTTTGGCATCCATGTTTTTTGTACTCCTCAAGTCGCGTAGAATTGATACGGTTGTGTATGCTAACTGGTAGCCTTATGGAGGGAAATGTCAATGTTTTTGTAAGCCATGTTTTTCAAGAACTACAACACTTCCACTATCTACTCACTTTGTTTTTAACTGAACACGTTAAATTCGCGTTAGCGTTGCGTGGCTAGGTGCTTCAGAAACGTGAGTCTAAGCGGTTTTATTAAACACGAAATTGAAGCCCACTCCCATTTTAATACCAAAGTCTCAGTTGAGCCAGCCTTGCAGAGACTGACTCATTTTGTGAGCCTCTGCAACACCGCCGCCATGATCTCTTTGTTGGCGCCTTTGCGGAAAGTGAGCGCAAACATCTCCAGCCAGCCATCTATCTGTTTAGCAAACATCGGATGCGTATCCTCTTACCAACACAGACTCGCTTCGTCACTCCCCGGTCTACGGAGCTCCACTTTTATTCAGACCGACACGTAAGAGACCGCGTCAGGCTACACCTCCGTCGCGTCACCGAGAACAACAACACGGAGAGGAGGACGAGGGAGACGACAGTGGGGAAAAAAAAAAAAAAAAAAAAACTCAGCTCCGAGGGGAAGGATTCGATTGACGGCGGAAAAGACCGGAAAGTCACGGAAACGGCCGAGGACGCGAGAGTAAACCTACGGAGATTGACGAAGGAGTGCCAAGTGTATCTGAGCATGCGCGTTTGTGTCTGCTCAAAATCCAGAAAAGCCCTATAGTTTAGAAAACGTAATAGGCAAAAACTTGATCTAACCAGTTTATTGTGAGAGATGTATGACCGTTTCCTTTAATTAAAAGTAGTGTTTATGTGGCAAAGGATTTGTTGACAGTCTCGCGTTACAATTTTTTTCTGATCATAATTTGTGTATTTTTAACATCAAAATATGTATGCATATTTTCAGCTAATTTAAAACACGCAAAACGGTAATATCAAAATGTTCAGCTAAAAAGAAAGTGTATGTTTAATATCTGGCTAATTATAGCTTTTCATTTTATTTTATTTATCAGTGTGCATTGCATTGGCAATGCACACTATTGTGATTCGTTTCCCATCCAAGTCATCTCAACTTTGCCATGCTTCTCCTCCTGCATACTTTGTCCTGGAGCTGCCATTGTAATTTATATCTGTAAAGCCCCTGTGCCAAATGATGGCTATGCCTTTTGGTGCCTGTAACACTTATAGTTTTTGAAATATTAATGTTTAATAAATTATAATGGCAGTCAATGGAGCCTTGTATTGGTCCAATACTGGCCCATGCTGCATCTACACAATATGGTACTGCACCATAGTTTCATAATATTTAAATTTAAACTCAGCACTTCAGTGTTTACAATATTAATATGATTGTATTTTGATGTTTTACTGTAACACTGTCTTTATATTGTCCTATTGCTGCAATATATTGCACTTAAGTGTCAATAATTGCATTGGCAAGGTAAACTTTTTCTGTATACATACAATCTAATCCCTGGGATTGTCCTCTGCCACATCTCCTATAGTCTCATGATGAGCACTGTGGGCTTTCATGTGGGAGATCAGGGTACTGCAACTTTAACAAAAATCTCTTCAAACTTCATATTTTCACACAATTACCTTAATTACAAACACCTGCTGATGTGACAGGCACAAGCTGGTTTGGAAAACACATTTGAACTTGGTCAAAGTTCATTCTGCAAGTCCATTGCTGCAGGCAAAAGCCATGCTGCAATGACAATGCACACTGGTTTTTACATTGTAAAAACCCAAGTCTAGGTTTTTTTTAAAATAATTTTAAGACTTTGCAACTATTTAAAGTTTTAGCTACAATTTATTTTATTTTATTTTTTACTAATTTTAGGTTAAAGCTACTGTTTTGTTAGATTTAGCCTTTATAATTTCAGGTTGTAAATGTTTTAGAGGTTTAAACTTGTAGCTATTTTACTAGTTTTAGCTTTTAAATACTTACTGGCTGTTGTGTTAATTAGATTTTATGCAGCGTTTTGCTGGTTTTATGGATTATAGCAATTGTCTTACTTTGAACTAGGTTACTTGCTAGAATTGGCGGATCTAGAAAAATTTCCATGGGGGCGGGGGGCAAAGGGGGGCAAAAGCTCTAGGCAGGATGGCAATGCAGGATCACTTCAACTGAAGTACTGTAAATAAGAAATTTTCTATATCTAAATAGAGTCAACAAAACACCCATAAAACACTTTCAAACACACTGCCTCATCATGTGACACATGTTTGTGTTTGATGCAGGGCAAACTATAGCTTTTCAGGGACCTCTGACTATATTTAAAATTATATATTTTTGGTAAATAAATGTTTATTTTAAAGGTTGTAATGGGTTTTTGGACTAACAAACAG